CCCCAAAACCCCAAAACCCCAAAACCCCTTAAATCAAATTCAATTAGAAAATAGTTTTCATTATAATGCAAAAATTAATAATTAAACTAAAATATTAAGAGAAGTATGAAAGTTTTTAATATTCTTGATCACACATTATTAGTTTTATGCTGTTTATTCATTCTAAATGTTCAAGCCAAAAATCTATGCTACAATGACTTAATTACTAACTAGCTGTTATCTGATAATGAGAAAAAAGTGAAAGTTGACGAGAGTTTAGAAGATTTATTGTAAATCTTTAATTTCAATGATACACAATCTAAAATTGTCTCAGATTTTATTAAAGATCAATTAGGAGATTACAATAACAAAAAAGTCTAGCGCTTATAATAATGGTTCTGGTTTTAAATCGATGAGGATAATTAGATGTTTATAAATGATCAATAGTCAGGCTGTAAAAATATTATTCCAGGGCTAAGGGGCATACCGCTTTGGCGAACTGATGAATTCCCCTGGATTAAAGAGCTGGAATAGCACTCTGATACCATCAAGCAAGAGTTGCTGTTAATCTTTGATGGGAAGTAGTTCAAACCAAATGGGCTGATTCTACGAGCCTTGCAATAAGATATAGAGCAAAGCGATTAAGAAAGTGAGGATTTAACTGATCATTTTTGGAATAGCTACTAACTTTTCAGCCCTGTTTTAGACTTAACACAAGAGTAGCTAAGGATACCGAAGACTACAAACATTTTGAGAAGTGTCATTAAGAACTAAAAGGAAAAAGCAGCGTTTAGTTTGAGTGTTGAGAAGTTCAGACAAGAACCTCATCATGGTGATTAGAATTATATCTTGAGATTCGTCTACCCTATAATGGGAGGAGAAGGAACCTAGATCAAAGTAGGAGATGAGTATAAGTATTATTAAGAAGGTTAAATGTTTGTAGTTGATGATTCATTTCTTCATTAAGTCATTGATGAAGGAGATGATGTAAGAATTTAACTAATTTTAGATATTTGGCACCCAGATTTAAATGATGAAGAAATTAAAATACTTGAGATTATGGATAGAGCTTTTGAAAGATTAAAATTGCTGTAGAGTTTTAGCTATTATTAGATTCCACTTAATAATGAATTATAAGAGCTCTAAAATAGAATAGATGAACTTGACCACAATTGAAGTATACAGAGTAGATTAAATCTAGCTTAATATTTTTTAATGATAAATTTAGGACTAAGCTAGTACTTTTCACAGGTAAAAATTGGGGTTTTGGGGTTTTGGGG